AATTATGGTTGGGATCGGTATAATTTTGATCGGGATTATCTCTGATCCGAAGAACATATCTTCTGGCTGTAACTTCCGGTAGTCTCCACACTTTATAAGTTATAACATAAAATTATGAACACATAATCTGAAAAATATTGTACATCTATCGCATCTTAATGGTTAAAAAGAAACTTATCTTCTATGTATGCACTGAGTAAATCAATAATTATCCTTATTTAAAGGTTCATTTATATTTTACTCCACACTTTTGAGTGTAAATTTATTGATTTATTGGTTTTCAATAAGTCATTTACGTTTTGAAGAGTTACAAGGAAGACACTTAAAAAGACAGTATTATGTATTGTACCATCCTTTCATAAACTTATAACAGATGGCACAAAGGAGATTTTTTTAAAAGTAATATAATTAATGTCATCATAGGAACACTTGTGGGTTGTTCCAATCAATATTTAGAAATAAGATGTGGCCAATATTTCCAATAACATGTTATTTGATACAAACCTATTGCGTCAATTAAAATAATTATCAATTGATTGTTGTTATCTATTTCGTATCGACGAAGATCAGTCGCGGCCGAGATTCGAACTCAAGACCATCCTATCAGGAGTGAGCGCTCTAGTGACAACTGAGTGACAACTGAGTTTCCGTGACGGTTTTCCTTTATTAATAAGTCGTATCTAAAAAGTATTATCTACGTGAATATATCGTACCTAAAATATCTCATTGATATGTTACTTACATGTGTCATTAATATCTAACTTTCATGAATAGGTCGTACTTGTCGATTTGAGGTTGATGATGATCCTGCTTATTTTCTCAACACAAAGGATTCCAATTCCTTCTGATTTCAAAGAAAGTTAACAAAAACCAGAGAAAAGACTAAAGTAAAAAGAAAATTTCTAATCATGAAAAAGATAAGATAAACAAAACGAACAAAGCTTCTTAAAACAAAATGTATTGACTAAACAATGTTCATAATCATGGAATTTAAACAAATCTGATTTTCGTAAATTCTGGGGTATTTTTAAATTACTTAAGAAATTCATGAATACAGAACAAGACATTGGACAAACAAAAGGTTGTTCAAAACAGAGAAGCCCATGATATTCAGGTGGCCGCGAAGACCTCTATTTCTCTTGTTTAATTTTCTTTCATGGACAAATTCTTTCCATGGGAACGGGTCTGTCTGTTGCGTTTGAGGATCAGATTTATTTTCATTTTGAGGCAACAAAGTACAGAGGGAGAAATCTATGGTTTTACTGACAATGAGGTAGCGTTTTCAAAGTACCTATCTACAGTGCTGATGGAGTTTGATGTTACGATGATCGTGAAAAATATAGGAATTTGATCGATCATAATGAATAGGTTTCCATGTACAAGAAGTTTTTATTTACAGTCTTGAACTTTTCTTAAATTTCAAAAATAAGATGTCCGTAATTTGTTTTTGATACTTTAAAAATCATTTTAAAATAATAAAGATAGTATTACATTATTATAAATCAATTTTCTTCATAGGTCTTGTAAGTAAAAAATTGTACAAATCAGCATAGAATTCAAACATGCTTATCAAAAAATATTTTTAAGACAAGACATGCTGCTTGTGGTTTTACCTTAATATGAAAGGCGTGATATGAGGTTATTTTCAGTCTATACACCAAATATAATATCATGAATCAACAGCTTGTCTCAATAGAAAGAGACCTTGGAAACGGATGGTATATTATTACCGTAAATATTCGTTTGGATCCGAAAACTTGTGTAAGTTTTGTTTATCATCCTATCTGCAACATATTCTAGAAGAGATGATATCAAGGTCATCTTTTAAAATAACGTTTGCTTGCCATTTAAGACTCGGGGTGGGGGTGGGGGGGGGGGTTAGTAGGAGGAGGAAAAATGTTTGTTTTTTCTAAGGAACATTTCAACATTGGGATGGCGGAGTGGAAAGTTCTAGAATAAAAGAAAAAACAATATCTTAATTCCTGGTGGTTGAAAAAAAGTTTTGAGTCGGGTTATTTTTAGCCAGTCGAACGGGAGAGGGCAAACAAACAATTTTTTTAAGATGTTTCCATTGAGGCAAATATATTTCATGGTAAACTCTACTATCAACTCTTCGATCTGAATTCTCTAACTTTACTTAGAAAGATTGCGAATGCGGCCACTAGAGGGAGCTCTGACTTCAGTGACGTTTCAATATATGACGTTACCCTTACTGTTATCTGTATCTTAACATTCAAGAAATTAACAAGTTTAATTTTTAGATATTCTTGATTTATTTCCCCACTTTGGAAGATATAAATAAACATTTTCAATACAATAGTTACTATGTTTGTAAGTGTTTGCATATGTTTTGATGTATTCAAAATAAAATAGAACAAATAAAGTAGCCATGGTTTTATTAATATTTTGCCATGACGAGAATCTTGGTTATTATTGGTTAGCAATAATGCATTCAAAGAAAATACTGCACTGTATGTGAGAAAAGGGTAAATCACAAGTAAATACATAGAGAATATCTATATTGTCTTTATCCAACAAGTTGAAATAGTGTATATATTCGCGAGGCTTGACGAGCGAAAATACACCATTTCGACAAGTTGGATAAAGCCAATATCAAATCACACAATTATAGATGTCCATTTTATCTCATACGACTTCGTTTAAGCAAAACTTTGAGAATTCCCCTGCGAAACTACATGAATGATTGCTAATTCATGACGTATAACTAAATGACGTAGCATCGTTGATGTTGACATGCCTCGAAAAAAAGATCATGTTCAAAATTTAGAATTTTTGCTATCTGCGTCTTTGAAAACATTATATGACAATTGCTGGAGCTTTACATCAAACGAAATTCTGACTGAAAGTTGTAAGGACCATGGGATGGTGAAAATGAACTCTTCGGACGATGGCAGTACAAAACGTGTTATAGGCAAGGCCCTACTTGTAGATTCATTGTTGATCCATGGTAAGTTACACGTACATTACTAGGTAGGTATACGTAGTATAATATAAGAAAGCATTATTGAAGATGTTAAAGGAATCTTATAACAACAATCTAATTGCTAGGCTTTATTTCTCCGAAAACGATTTAAAGGGGAGGTGAACATCTTACTTAAAGTAGCCAATACAGGTTCCTTGATAAAATAAGACACTTCTTTGAAATATACGAGTCTTTTTCTTGCTTTTAACGATATTATTTCTCTTTATCATTCATTTTATTAGGGCAATAATTTTCACAAATAAAAGTTTAAATAAAATAAAATCTTGAAACGAGGAAAGCAACTTTTTGCCCTCCATCAAATATTTAAAATTCTTATATTATAATATAAAACAGCTTATTTAAGAGGTTAGACTTTTGTATAAGGTCAAAGGAATCTTTGCTTGTTCCATTTTATAATAATAAATGATAGGCCTAACGTTACCACGAAACCAATTTTCGGTGGTAACATACGTCATTGCAGTACTTATCCAGTATTACACTTAAATAAAAATGGATATATTTAACATACGTCATTGCAGTACTTATCCAGTATTAAACTTAAATAAAAATGGATATATTTTTGAGATATTCTAAGTATGCTTTTCTTTTTTTTTTTTTTTTTTTTTTTTTTTTTTTTGGACAAACATTGTGATTTTTTAGAAAATTGAACCATCATGAAGGGAGGGGGTGTCAAAACTGAAAGTGCTCTTAAACTAGCAAACCTCTGAATAAAGATATTAATTCATTATACATTATGCAAAAATCTGTGATCTCCATGTTATTTGCAACTCTCTATTCTCCAAAAATGATATACTGTCTTAGAATGATGAATTAGAAAAGAATGATGTCACAGGCGTATTTAAATACTAGAAATAATCTTTCGCATGTGTTGGATACCCTTCTCGCAAAGTTTTTGATTAATTTTACATTTTACAAGCAATCAATAAATAATTGAATATTTTATCTAATGATTTTCAAAAATAAATAAAATAAGGTTAAACTCGAATATCAAAGATTTTATAAAATTGTTAAATGATTATCTTTAAATTTTAGGAATTAACACTTGATTGTTAAAACATTCTTCTCCCAGTCATGCACAACAGTTGCAGATTAATGTCTACGATGCCATACATTCATTAATCCTTTGTCAATTTTAAATGCCTGTTTTCAGATGATGAGATCGAATTATCTCCAACCAAGAGCGGTGAAGTAAGCCTTGAATTTTCCGGTCCACGGACTGTCATACATGTATATGCTTATGATACAATGTACGTAAAAGCCTGTTGAGACATGATGTAAAGAAATTTTGCATCTGCAACTCTCCATCACCTTTTTTATATTTTCCAGCTAGAGCAATGGAAATGCGCACATTAGTCATGTTCAGGTAGCATTTGTATCTTTGATACACGAAAGGAGAAGTGATTTTTCGGAATAGTGCTGTATCAGTACTTATGATGAACCTTTAACACCCCATATTATCGCCAAATGTTTTATTAAACATGCAATTTTTTATTTCTGTTAAGCGGACCCAAAATTAATGTCCGGTAATGATATAAAAATCATTAAACTGTCAATTTACCAATAATGACAAAAATTGAAGATATCCTTACTTTTTAGTTACAAAATTTGATCCTATTTATAATGTTTCCTCCCAAATAAGGATGTTGCGTTTCATTATACTATACACGGAAATAAAGAATGTATAGAAATTATGCAATAAGGGAATCATTTTTTGAACATTTTTTTTCTTATTTGAGCATATCATACAGAAACATATGCCTTTGCTGTCAAATGGCAGTAAAACCTCACTATTCAAATTAATATTATGATAAAAATGTAACTTTACTTTAAAGCAGAAGATTTGTGTTAAGAATACATTAATGATAAACAATTTCAAGTTAATTATTTCTACAATTCACAATGAGAATAAATACACTGATTAAAAAATATATTTAGTGAGTTTATTCTTCAAATGTCAGATATCATGTGACTTTAACAGTGAATACGTTGACATTATTTATCTGGAATAGTGACTGTGTTGAAAGATTTCGTGGATTCTCATTTCTGTAGCACCTTGTATACTGTGAAGTTGAAATTCTCTGAGAGATTGATGGTATGAGTAAAGAGCATCATGGAGGTTCCCTGTCACCTGCTGACAAATCCCTAACATCTGCCATGCTAAGTTTTTGACAATTGGACGACTAAGTTGTACCTGGTCATAATGAACTAAGGCCCGTAAATCATCTAAAGCTGTTTGTGCTCTGGCTGTGTCTACGTGTGTGCAGCAAAAAATTTCTAGCATGTATACCATTACAAAGGGTGGAACATATAAGTAAGGCACATGGTTTTCTAGACTGGACTGTTGCTCTGGTCTCAATTCACTGATGTAAAGAATTTCATTATTCAGATTTAGATCCCGTGCTACAGCCTGCCTCATTTTTGTTGACCAGGATTGACCCCCTACAGCCTCCATATACATCTCCTCATCTACGTTAAAATAATTTTGCATCACAAATGGCTGTGCTAGCTTGACCTTTATCACGCCTATAGTAGAAAGAGCTTCCATGTATCTAAGTGTCTTATAATAATACATGGCTAAGTACAGCATGTCAGAAATACAACCAAAGTTCGCTGCATATTTCAGGATATGACAGGATATTTTATCAGCCCTGTACTTCACTTTGTTTTCTTGAGTGTAAGTATTCATATGTAACATAAATGCTAGATTCTGGAGGACAGAATTTATAAGACTCTGACGCATGATGACTTGATTTTGTGTCAATGGTGAAGCAAACGTCTGTTCTATTATATGTAAATACTGTATGCATCCTTGTACGTTCAATGTTGGTATTGAGCCGTTGTGTTCTACTTCACGAAATAAATTGACATCAAATTGAGCCTCAGAAAACTGGATATGTTTTTTTGCACAAAAGGATATGTCTGGATCACGCAGGAAAGCCATGCATCCATTACAGGATATAATCGACAGAGTCTCCATCATGGATTGTATACCCATCCGATATAGCGTATGCAGTTTAATAAATAAAGCGTTTTGGGCTTCACCATAAATATTACTCAGAAACATGTTGTTACTGGGAATGAAAAAGTTAGGACAGACCCCTTCATACACCCATTTGAGGATGAGTTTAAAACAAATCAAGGAACAATAAAGGAGTGTATGCGGACACCACTGGGGTAACATATTTTGTTGAATCGCCCAGAAAACTGCTGTTTTCATGTGATAGGAACACAGTAATTTTTCATCATCGCCTAATCCTTTGTTAATTACTCTATTTAAAAATGATTTAAGCAAGCCATATGTTAAGAACTGGCAGTGATTCATAGCAGACACAAGTTTTTGTTCTGCCAAAGAAAAAGAAATTCTCCATTCATTGGTTTCATGTCTTCCTAGTTTATGTCCAATGGCTACAAAATGACATCCACTTTTCACTATGTCATCAACAATATGAGGCTGGGGCCATGAATTACTTCTGTCTATCCATGAGGAGGCAGATGGAGGCCAAATATCCGATGCAAAGCAGTGGACAAAATCATATCCTAGCATTCCATGATATCTACTCACACAAGGACCGTGGAGAGTGGAGCTCTGAGACTCCATAGAGCACTGGATTTGTCTGTGTTTAGAACTAGATACATAATATCTGTTTTTCATTCTAACACACGCTCTCTGGATTTCACTGTATAAACATGGAGAGAGTACATATAACAAGGTGAATCCTGGCGGGCTTTCTGAAACGTCACAGAGGATCAGTTTTTTTCTGTGTATGTTATAATACTGAAACTGATGTAATTCCCAGATCACACGGTACGTATCTGGCCAGTACATAACGTCTAAATCTGAATCCTCTAGTCGGAATCCTTCTCGTCGACTTCCACTTGTCATGATAAGGTCAAAATTTGTTCTTGTTTGATTTGCCAGTATATTTATTAAGTCCATTATGTCCCTCCTCGCTCCAACTTCCAATGACGTCCCAACCTCAAGACACAGTCTGAGAAACACAAATGCTGACATATTCTTTATGTCCACTATGCCATTACTAATAAGAGAGAAATTTGAAAATATATTTTACTTCACTTTAACAGTTTCTGTCTAATTTAAGCAAGTGGAAAATTAGAGAAATACCAATATCTTACGAATGAGTGTAACTCGCAATGATTTCCAGTAACCTGTGATTGTTGGATTTGGATCGGATTAGAATATTAATTACAATACTAAACTTGCCGATGGGTTCCTAGACAGGTGGTTGTGGAAGAGGTTCCCAAAGGGATTATTTAGGCTTTAAACCAAGACATTTCCCACAAAAATGTACTCTTTCTTGAGTGTTCTTTACGTTATTGTTTAAAACACCTTGAGCATTACTTCAAGTCATTGTTTAAAGTATTTAACTTGTTAAATTAATTTTATTCACGATTATTTGAGATGGATATTCTAAATAAGTACTTTTATACCATGATTCAAAAATTGAAAAGAAAACTGTTGGTTAATGTGCATCGTATTGAACAAATGTGCAATTGGCTTGATTTTTTGCACTGATATTGTAACTTTAAAATTAAAAAGACAACCCGAGTCCTGTTTCTTTGAGAAAGTGATCAAGTTCAGCCGCGTAGTTTTTAATTTGTCATTCAGATTTACATAAAAATGGAATTTGTAGTGAGAATATTTCTTATAGATAAGTAAGGATGGCTGCAGAAAGGTAGAATTTTTATCATCACAGAAGGTTTACTATTTGTTAATACCTATATTTTGGAAACTTTTTAGTTGTATTGTTAGTATGCATACTTACGTATGGGAATGTCTAATGGAATCCATTTTCCCAAGAGAAGAAAAGTTTCAGATACTATTATTAGGACAGGAAACTCCCCTTGTATATCATCTTACATATTTATGGGTTTATTATGCAGGTAGCCAAATTCTGTAACAAAAATATATATAACTTTAAGCAGTTTAAACACAAAGTATTGTGATCGTTATTCAAAACTCAGCTATCTGTGACAAAGCAGTGGTTTGCATTTATGTAAACGAAAGCAAATGTATAATTATATTGGGTATGTGGTATTAGATAACATTTACTTCTTTCAAACCGTGTTATACCGGGCTTTATATAAAATGTTAAACGAATATCAGTCAAGAGGATCAAATAAGAACTTGAGATAGATATCTCAAAAAACTGTCTTAAATGACCTTACTTAAACACAGAATATGCTAAAAACCATGAAATCTGCGTGACTTGTTACTCAGAAGGAGAAAAAAAATGTACTTTGGAGTTTTCTTCATTGTTATAGAATCAAACTTATATGGGCATAGATGTAATGCTTGCTAGATCTTTCACAATTTTTGTTTTACATTTTATGAAAAACCTAATGTCCATACATAATTCAGGTACGAGAACAGATGTATTGTGTATGCCCTAAATGTAAAATATCAAATAATTTTGACATCTATAATGAAAACTTAATTATAGTTAGCATAGACTTCTACCGACTTTTCCAATACATGCAAATGTTTCCATCGTTCATTGTTCAGGATCCAGAGTATAAAAGAGTTTCTGTTCTATAAAGATTTCCTTTTTTCTCAGGACATCTCGAGAGAATTTTTTTAGCATCATTGTATTATCTTCGCACTCTATTGAAGTCCCTGCATCTATGGTTCAGATCCAAGGTTGGGGTCATTCGAAAAAATATTTTAAAGATTTAAGTTTTCATAAAAGTCAAAGTTTTAGAAAAAATTCTATAACGGTGTTTGTATAAAAAAAATAGGTTATAATTCTTTTACTTGATAAAACAGAATAGTCTTGACTTTTGTGTTAAATAATCAAAGCTTATGGAAAAGGAAAAAATAAAGAACAAATAATTAAGCAACCGATTACAAAACAATGATTTCGATTTATTGATTGATTGTATGTTATACGTCCCATTTGAGTATTTTTATGACGTCACTATATACTGGGAAGGGCGTTCAGACTGAGACCTTCATTTGACACTCATGGCCATTAAGCAGTGAAGGTTCTTATAGTACCAACGCCTACTGTGACACGGGACCTCGATTTGTAAGGTCTCCTCCGAAAGGCCAGCATATTTATCTATCGTCATAACTAATCATTAGTTATATTTCCGGTTTGTAAAAGCGCGATATAATCACAACGTAACACGGTAGGCCTACAAAAATGGGAGGGACATACTTTTGCTTGATTGATATCACAAGATTTACACCGACGTTATCGTTTATATATTTTTTTTTATTATAATAATCCTTCTGACTCTAATTTTCGGTACTCTCTACTATTTTTAACATAGCATT